CTGTTCTATATTCACAAAATGGTGTCACACTAGGTGGACATCAGTTTTGTGGACAAAATGTAATGCGTCATAAGCATTTGGATTTGGTACATGAATACTTAAAACCTATAGTTTCATAAAGTAAACATTGCTATTATGTGTATAAAAGCTATTTTAAAGTATTTTATTGTATTATTTTGTTTATTACAGTAGTTTGAAGATTGGCAATGTGACCCCGGACAGTCACACCAGTGGACAATGTTCATGTTTCAAACCAAATATTTAAATATTAGAAGTATAGAGCTCATGAATTACAGATGGATTGGTTATTGAAGATCAAGATGTTAATAAAAATAGAGATTTTAATAAAACATCACCAGTTATTATATATATTTGTCACCATGAACAGAAAAACAAGGCGTCACGTCAACTACCCAATTACAAAAAAAAATGTATTAGGATAAAATGACGAAGTGATGACATCTGGGAAAGCCTAAGGCAGACAACCGTGAGTTGCTAATAGTTGTTTGACCATCCTTTACAGGAAGGCAAGTTATACTGCATAGTGTCACTCAGGGAAGTGATGTTCCTTTTATTGGATTAATTTACACTAACCAAATACATTAATTCAGTATAATTCCAAGCACAGTTTTATGCCTGTAATTTTGTTGAACTCCATGCCAATTTGATAACTTTAGAGACTCTCACTGATGAGTCATGGTCAATACGTTACTTATTATTGTGTTCTGAGCTAAATGAAATAAATAAAAACAATAAATGCCACATTTGATGCTTTTGTGTGAAAAAAATGTAACAATAGACAGCACAATAACAAGAGACGCGATTTAACTAATAACCCCAATCTAATATTTAAATTTCATCTATCTTCCTGAAGTGGTACTTCTTTATTCTCATAACCACAATCAGAGATGCTAAATAACCAGACCTTTAATCTATGCTCACAGGCAGTCTGGATAATTACCATAGTCTCAGTAGCAGGTTACCTTGGTGTCTTAGAGCCTGTGGCTGCAGGGCACGGTGTTATCTGCATGTGGGGTATTATTTTTAGATAGAAAAGCGTTGTCGTTTTTATTTTTTGAAACGTAACAGTATAATAAAGAAGTTACATACACATAAATCTGCACCAGAAAAAGTAAAAAAATAAGAGTCCAAAAAACCTTGGTTTCAGGATTTGTTCCTTGGGAAACCTACCCTCTTGGCACAAAACACACACACACACACACACACACACACACACACACACACACACACACACACTCATGACCCCTGTAAGGAATGTAGAATGAACCAGGAGNTGGGAAATTACTGCTTGCATCAAAGGGCGGACACACACACACACACACACACACACACACACACACACACACACACACACACACACACACTCATGACCCCTGTAAGGAATGTAGAATGAACCAGGAGCTAGGTCCCAATTGAATACTGCGCTCTACTACTATACACAATATGCTACATTCACTGTCAAAGAAAGTGAATTGGCAAATAATATGAGCAATTATTTTGTTTCTCCATTTTATATCATTCTAAGCTGATTTTTTCTTTTCAGTTTTGGGTTACTGGATGGGCAAAAAACACAACAGTAAATGTAACATTTGGCTCAAGTGATGGTCGAATTGATCATTTTCCTATTCATCTAAATCATTTATTGTAAAATATATTTGGTATTAGAATAACATTTGAACACAGCCATTGACTTGGTTATCTAAGAAGTGATGTGTAACAGTGTCAACATGAGAAGTGTCACCTATAATAAAATGTATTCTAACATCTATCTCATTCTCATTCTGTGGGTGTTCCCTGTATTTGTGTGTGGGTCCACGCACACTTTACACATTTGTGATGCATCTGTGCTTTCATGTCAGCGCCTGTCCCTGCTGCAGTTGCATTAATGATGTTGAGAAATATCCATGCCGCCCCAGTGACAACAGCAGCAACATCGTGTCCTGTGTGTGAGGGGTCCGGCCGGGCCAGCTGCATGACTGATGGTGGTCCCATTGATTGCTTTCAGTCTTCGGGGCTTCCAGCCAAGATTGGGCCCCTGGCCAAAAGCAGCTTGGCCCAGCTAATCTGTCACCAGGCTGGCCAGAACAGGCTTCATAAGCTCCATCGACCCACGGAGCTTACACGCTGTGTGCTAGGGCCTGTCCTCCCCAGCCCCACTGTCCATTAGTCTTGGTGCTTTAATCTTCCTCTATCTGTGTGTCTGTGTGTCAGCTGCTCAGGGATTGATTCATTATGAGTGTCCAAGGATTTGAGTTTACTTTGTTTATAGTCAATCTCTGCTATTTTAATCCATGTGTAAGCAGTGATTCATTAATAATGATGATCACGTCCTCATTTTCATACCCTCTTTTTTTAGCTGGAATAGAAAAGGAGCATCTTTAATGTTTGTTGAAAAAACTATAGTTGGTGGAGAGGTGGTTCACTGAACATCTCAGGTGGGGTGCACATTAAAACACTGGATACAAAAGACTGTTTAACATTTGATTGCAGTCAGGATAGTAAGACCTGGATGTACTGTGGAGGATTTTCTCTATATAAAAGAATATAGGTAATATATTACGTCAGGTAGACAATGGAAAAAAATAGGAACCTTAAATAATGCTCCCTTTTCCTCACAATGTAGGAACAAATCAATAGGGATATAGCTTAACAAATAACAAAATAATTGTAAAGATTTAAGGTACAAACAATTTAGATCTCCATATGCAAACTCACAGTGGTCTCATTTGTTCTGCCTGCAGTCTCTGGAGGGAAAGAAGGGAGTGAGTGCTATGGGCTTGGATAGGGGAGTGGTCTACATTTGATTGACAGTCTAGTAGGGGTGTAACGGTTCACATAATTCACGGTTCGGTATGTACCTCGGTTTGGGGGTCACGGTTCGGTACGGGTTCGGTACAACAAGAAAAAGCAAAAAAAGTCCCAAATGCATAATTCCAGGTTCGNTACCAGACTAGGACACAGGTGACCCATGTTAGCGTTTTTAGCTACCTAGCGCCATATGTTTTGATGTCTGTTCTTGTTATTATCTCAGAGAGTTCGTATAATTGAGTGATAATGAAGGGTACCCCTCGATTCTGTGTCTCCTCACGATGTGAAACGATGGGTTGGGATGTGCAGCAAAGATAAATAATAAGGTTTTGTGAGTGAATTTCGGTGCAGTCATCTGTTAGCATTTTTTGCTCGTTGCTAATTCAGAGGCTCAGCGTTAGCATTGTGGGGGTTTTTTTAATTAATTTTTTTAAATGATCAGTTAGATGAGTTTCTTTCCGTTACATGGATATAAAACATTCATAGTTTATTAAATGAACATGCCCTCAGAAACTGTTTCCTGCAAGATGTTGCAGGAGGGCCTCGGTACCGGGGTCTCTCGGGCTTTACAGGTTGGAAGCCAATAGACATGAAAGAGAGACCAAAAGAAATAACGGAAGCTATTGGCATATATATTTCAACGGCTATGCGCCCTTGAAACACTTTCTTATTATTTATTTTGTAATATTTTCAAGAGATTCTTTTTAGTTTTACAGCTTGATGACACCTTTTTGTTTGACATCAGCCATTATAGATAATACGGCCATCTGAGTGTGTGTGGTACTGTGTGTGTGTGGTTTGTTTTTAACTGTGTAATACAGTTAATTATTCAACATGTTAGAGTTCCTTATTTGTACAGTGAAACTTGCACTACTGCTCAAAAATAAATAACAGCGAACCTGGAATTATGCATTTNATTCCCTTTATCTTCCTTTTCATTGTCATAAAGCTGCTGGATTCTTTTGTCACTGTCTTTCTGATTGGCAGCTCCTATGTTGTGTGTCAGACGATGCAAATTGCATCGTCTGACACACAACATAGGAGCTGCCAATCAGAAAGACAGTGACAAAAGAATCCAGCAGCTTTATGACAATGAAAAGGAAGATAAAGGGAATTTATTGGAGAAAAGCCGAATGTGTTGCCCTGACTGGGGATCATTGGACCTCGGTAAGCAATTCAAATTACCTCTGTGTGACGGCACACTTTATTGACATCTTCTCACTGTTCTCAGGTCAAATATTTATATGTGATTAAAAATGCGATTAATTTCGATTAATTATTTACAAAACCTCTAATTAATTAGATTAATTTTTTTAATCGAGTCCCGGCCTTAATAATAATATCTCAACGTCTATAATTGTAGTGTTAAAATCAGTAGGTTTCGGTGTGCATCACTCCGTGTCATTTCACTTCGAAATTCACCTCTATAGGGTAAGGAATATTAGCCACATGCTAAATGCTAACCGGAGATGAAGGTTTTTCAGAATAAAAGCTTTACATCAGACATTGTGCGCGAGAACTTCTGGTTTTTCAGTATAAGACAGCATTTAAACTGACGGTATGTTTAAGCTACATTATGCCATCAAAACATTGATTTTAATTTCTAACAGTTGCACAAAGACAAGGGTGTCCTCTGGGTTTAATATCCACAGACGGGACAATGAGTACGTGGGTTATTCATCTACATTTCAATATTATACAAAATGACTCTTCCTCAAACGTAGATGAAATACTGACTACAGCACTTTGGAACTTTCTTATAATAAGCTTGCATTCTAGGATTTCTGGAACATGCTCTCCAAGCCAAGAGAAAATAGCACGTGAGACTCTGTTAATTACATTAATTGAGTCCTAGATTTTTTACAATTGAATTTCCTTTAAACTCATCTCCTCTGATAATTCTGCACCTTTTTTAAAGAGACCTTATTATTCTTTTTGGGGTTTCCCGATCCTGTAATGTGTAATATAGGTTTTTGTACATGTCTGAAATGCCTCCTTAGTTTACTTCCTGAACATAGTGACATCACTATGTGAAACTTGTGCAAAATAAAGATATGAACATGAGCAGAATACTGTATGTCATCTTTCAGTGATTTCTCTGTTATGTATATTGCGTTGTGTGCTGTGTAACATCACACACTGACAGTTACTGCACTGTTTTCCTCAGATTGTGTACGCGGCTGTAGACTGCACGCGAGGACAGAACAACGAGCTCTGTAAGCAGGAGGGAGTGGAGGGATACCCGACATTTAACCACTACAACTACGGCAAGTTTGTGGAAAAATACAACGGCGATCGTGGGGTAAGTAGTGCAACATGTCTCACCTCATTCTCTCTTTGCTGGTACTTACCGACTCAGAAACTTTACCAAGAATCCCATTTTCTTCTTGTTTAAAAAAATGAAGCTGGTTCATAAAAAAAACCTATAATTGTTTTTGTTTAAACGAGACCTATCATGCAAAATGCACTTTTTTATGTCTTTTATACATAAAGATGTGTCCCCGGTGTGTCGGGGAACTCACGCAGCGTCAGAAAATAAAACCCTTTCTCTTTTCCTCCGTACCCAAATCTTTTAAAAACGGGGGTACAATGGGCAGATACAGATTTGCTGCCGATATGACGTAATATCGGATGGTGGACCCACAGAAAGTTGCTATCAGAAACAATGCCTGACTTGTTTTGGACGTAATCTCGTCTTTGTTCACATTAGCATCTCTAACACTCAGAGCTAACCTGTACTGGAGAGCACATGTGTTTAAAAAGCAGGAAATAAAAAAAGGAACTCACCTTGTGATAAACCTGCAAGAGAAAAATAGAACGATAAAATCCTATAATAACACCAGAGTCTGCAAATATGTTTAAATATTGGACAGATACTACAAAAAAATAGTATGTTTCTAGTTACGTAAAACTGTAGGGAGTAATCAGGGCCAGCAAAGTCGGGGACAAATCTCTTTCCGCCTAAAACGCCAGAGATCGAAATTTTTTTTTTTTCTCCTCCTCCGCTCGATTCCGGACAGTCTTAAGAGGAGTCTATTTCAATTAAGACGGCACTATTTGCGGTAGGACAAGATTTGGGTAGTTCCTAATAATGACTTTGTCATA